TTTTCGCGCCAGGAACCCTCATGGGGCCGTACACGAAAAACGCGCTTACCTGAGGGCTGAACTTAAAATCTTTGAATTCTATATGGACGAGGAACATAATTCCAAAATTTCAGCTTTCTAGTGCTCATGGTACCCAAGTTAGCGATTTTCTCGCCAAAACTTCGAAGCGCTTTTTATGGAAATTCTTTTTGCCCACTTGATACACGAATAGCACCTTTCTGTTCTGGGTTCAAAAAATGCGGTGAAAGCCATTTCATACAATTTACCTCGCATCTGTAAACAGAATTTAAACTTCCAACCACGCAGCTCATCTCATCCTCAACTTGTGCAATGAAAAAAGAACTTAACATCTCTTTGTCAAATTTAAACTACTGTTTTCAGAATCTTATTCTCGCATGACCATGCGAGATGTCTAAGCTAGCGCATTTTGCTACTTGAGCAGATAATTTCTTCATCCAAAGCTATAAGACGAAGGAAAACCTCATGAAAAAGAAATAACCTTGCTAGGCATAACTGTTGTTCGAACTTCTGTGAAAACAGTGGCACCACCAAGTTGTGGTTGCGTCATCTGCAATAAAATCCAAGAATCATCAAAATCTTTTAGTAGCTTCTGTAACTGACTGCAAAGAAATTTTGAATAACTTACATAAAATAATACTGTGGCTATACGGTTTCCGGTGTCAAGCGAATGAAAAGCTTTCGTTTCCTCTTTCTGAAACAGCAAATTGCCCGAAAATGAATAAACATGATTGAGGTACTCTAGCAGCAACGGCGCTAAGTGGCTTGGCGCGCTCTTCCGCTCAGGACAGCCATTAGCGAATCCAGGGAGGGAACGATGAGCCTTTCGCCTCCTCCCTCTCCAGCGGCACAGGTGGTGGTGCTAAAACTGACGAAAACTCTCTTCCGGACCACCGGTCGCCCATCCCCCACTCCCTTTCCCCTCCTAGGGAGTCGCCATGAATCCACCTATGAACGCAGCAAATTTGTTTTTAATTCTTTTTTGAAGTGTTGAAATTAACACGTATTTTTTAGCCACGCAGACAAACAAACGCCTCGGTGGAGACACTTGAAAGTGATCCAAGTGATAACAGGTGCCAACAGCAATCTTTCATTGGCAAAGCGAATTACTTAAAAACAAATGACAGCAATTCCCTGGCAGTGTCAATTTACCATCGAAACGAATGAACGAATTGTGGAAGAATTTGCTATCTCATTAGTGAAGTTAAACATTCGTTAAACTCTATAACCCAGGCTGGAACGCACCAGGCGAGCCGGAGCGATCATGCGTTTTTGCACAAAACTTGAATTAGGTTAATCGCATAACGGTTGTTTTTTCACATCTGCCTTGTGTGCTTAATGCCGAAAATCATCGTAAATTTTGCATAAGAAGAAATGAACTGTTTCCGTTTAGCGGTTCTTTTTGAAAATAACAACCCAACTGTTCAATGAGTAATTTTCCCGCCAGAAATTTAATTGCCCGTATACGAGAATCACGCG